TGCTTTAAGTCTTAATTTCAACGAATTGAATGCCCATGTACATGGTGCTAGGGTCAATATAGTTATCAAACAAGAGAACTGGCGATGGTTGTAGAACCATAACTGCCTCAGCTCAAAGTTTGTTATGTAATACAGGGGCATGTGAAGGGAAATGTATTGTAATGTTACCTTTGTGTAATTTACAATATATCTGCATTAACCTTCACTGTGAAGGAAAATATGGGAGTTGACTTAAATCAGTGACTGGTAAAAGCAAGGCTGGTCAAATTCTGCAAAATAGTAGTTAGAATTTCCAAATACGCAATTGACACATTGTGAGATATCAAAATATGGATGATAAACAGCAAGTGATATTCCAGAGATGTAGTTGGAATTGAAGCAAAGGAGTGACCTATTAATCCATGAAACATACTCACATTTCCATTGCAGAAAAAAAAAGAAGAAGCAAATACTCTTACTGAAGCACAGAATTTGCATGAATTTTTCTCCCCGGCCATTCACGCAAACTGCAAACGAAGTCTTTTACCTCATCCATAGTTGTTGGCACTTTGCAACCGCCGTGATGGATGGATGTATTGTGACGTATTCTGACCCCGATTCTGACCTTGCGTTCCGGCTACATGTACTGCCCTTTCATACCAGTTCAATTTCCTTTCATTATTACATCCAAATTTCATGATATTTAATATTTAAAACCAACCTTTATTTCACAGTCACTTTAGTTTTCACTTTTCTAAAATTATTTTACTGATCAAAAGACTTTTCACTCCCATCATGCAATCCCCCATAGTACTTCCGGAAACACAGAGGCGATCGCCAGCATATTTACAAATAACCTCGCTCTCAGGAGCTGAGGAATGACACCCCCCCCCCCCACACACACACACAGACAGACAGAAGAAAAAGAAATAGAGACAAAACACAACATCATATTAATTATGCATTTATTCCTAGTTTATCGTGTAAGTGTATTCCAAATTACACTTTACATGTTTGTAGCATAAATGCAAAGCCAGTACATTTCAAGGCTGACATGTCTCCAAAGTTATCCTTAATAAGTTAAACACTTAATTATATATGCAGCCCTTGGCAGGACCTTGATGTACCCGGTAGATACTTTCGAACACAAGACGTCAACATCGCATGCTCGTTGCGTCAGAGAGTAATTTCCAGCAACTGGAAATGTTTCATAAACAAGCATTTTGTATAAACAAAAACTAATCATCTGATACAATATAAATAAACTCTTTAATATCTATTGTTCATTGCAGATAAGTGCTACTTCCTCATCAGATCAGTGTCCAAGCCCAAAGCTGTCCGGGTTGGATGGAAAATTATCATGGGTATGCGTAATGTCCTTCCAAAACGCAAAACCAAAATAGGTGTGAATAGTACATGTGACTTCACTCAAGCAAAATATTTCAGAGGACACAAATAAAACTGAATGCTATAATTGGTGTCATATATAGGAAAGCTACTATATGACAAAATAACTGCACATGCCTAAAATTGATTCCTTTAATACTTCTCCTTTCTCT